ATCTAAAGGGTAGTGGCGGGTCGGGGGGTGTGGGGGGTGTGTGTGCGGTTAATGAACAGGGAATGACAAAAAGATTACTTATGAGTTTTCTCTGAAGGTAGTTGCTCCACCTGAAATCCAAATGATAAAACAGGCGTCAAAAAGGAGTTGTCAAGGGTCAGTATTTACTGAAATAAGCAACAGCAGGGAAGATTAAAGTCTGCATAATAAAAACCTACCATTTCAGTAGCTGTGCTAAAAAGCTGTATAGCCTTCTGCAATACCAACAAATAGTGACGAGGAAAGACATGCCTAGCATTAGCTGCACTTTCACTTTTTGCCACATGAGACACAAGGATTGCTTGGTGGCTGTTGTCCAGGACCGCACCTCATGCCTTCCTAAAATAGGGATAAAAAGAGAGAGGAAAAAATCTTGTCACTGTTTTGCAATACTTGTTTCTGTTTGTTTTCTTACAAAAAGAAAAATCATCCAAGTACGATACCACTTCAAATGAACCACAAAACGTGAAATGTAAAAGGCAAGTATATTTTTATATACTTAATATATATACTTTATATACTTAGTTTTTCAAGTTTCTAGGGTTTTGGGTGCACGTGGTTCACATTTCCAAGCTCTCCTCCACACAGTGAAGGCTAGATATACAGTTACAATGGAGTCACAGAAAGACTGATATCAAAGCAACTGTTCAATAACAAAAAAAAAAAATTTTTTTGTTTCAGGATGTGCTGATCCAGAGACCTGTACCGTCATTACTTTGTCACTAAGTCAATTAAAGGAATATTCCTGCCTCAATTTGGGTAAGTTTAGGGTCAGTTTAAAACTCCGGAGAAAGCGCCTCCCCAGGGATTTGGCAGAAAGCTCAGGAGATCATCACAAAGGGGGCGCGCTCTCACTGTTCTTCACAGACATAAACCAGGACACGTTTCTGTCGCTCTCTTGGCATTACAGGCAGGGTTAGGGAAGGTTTTCGTTGTCTTTTGTTGGTAAGAAAACCTAGAATTGAGAGAGGGCCTGGAGACTGAATAGTTGACAAAGGCAGTATCTGCTCCCTAAGTGAGAAATTTATCCTCTGGCTGAAATTTGAGTATAGGAAATTCCCAGAGTTTATGATCAACAGCTGCTCTATTATTAACTTATTTATTGATTTAGTACAAAACTTTAAGAGAACTCAACTTTTTATAAAGGCATCCCCAGAGAAGGCTGAAAAGATCCTTCTCCAGAGAGTCCACAAAGGGAATTACTCATTCAGCATAGTTTTATGTCAGTTGAACTTCTGCCCCTCCTGGCTTTAACAGGAAATTTAAGAGGGGCTTAAGTTTTCCAAGGAACTTAAGCCCATGCACTGTGGACAACTATCCAGTCGAAGAGGTACATGTGAATCCCTACCTTGGCAACGAGATAAACAGCTACGCATACATTTTTACAAGCACTGTTGCATATATACAGAGCACTGCTGATATTTGGCCTTTTCCAATATTCTGTTGTTTAAAGAAGTTTTATTACAGGATGTCATATGCTAGTTGTCTGTAGGCAAGACCCAGACCTTGTCTCTCCCATGAAGAAAAGGCAGGTTAAGAGCTGTAAATGAAAAGGTGTTAATAAACTTCAGAGAGGTAATCAGAGAATTTTTTGGGGTGCTAGTTCCCATTTACACAAAACCCGTACTGCTGTGAACACTTTTCGTACAAGACAATGGACAGGTCTTCTGTCAGCTTCTGCTCGTGTGCTGCACTAACGTGTGCGTACCTGGCACGACCGGGGGTTTCGCCTGCACACACCGAGTAGGAAAAAGCAAGACACGCATTCACGCGCAACCAAAAAGACCAAAAATCTGCAGCTGCAGGAAGCATTTATTACTGATGTCAAGTAACAGACAGCAAAACATCAGCTGTAAGGTTCGAAAATGGCATAGCTCATGGAAACACCGGGACACTCCCACTTAACAGCACACACGCACACACTTACTGCTGATGGACACCAACAGGCACATTCTTAATAAGCACCCAAATTGCTACCTAGAGAACAACTGAGAATTAGCAACCAACAACAGTCTGGCAGAATCAAGCCACCGCAATTTTTTCTCTCTCTTCTTTAGGATAAAGGCATCAGCATTGAAAAAACCTCAGCGGACTGTAAATGACTGAACCTTCTGCTAACTAGAATGGAACCTGAAGGCTTACAAATGCGGTTCAGCCGATGGATCAATGGGTATTCTGGATTTATATTGTCACACTGTTGTATGAAAACCAACGATGATTCAAACGGAATTCGTTAACAGCAATTTAAACATACGGTATCGAAAGGAAGATGCAGCAGACTTTCATTTCATTACTTAAAATGACTGTATGGTCCCTCTTTTGATTTCAAACAAACTGGGACTATAAAAAGTGAGAGCTGGTCCATCTGTTCAAATGACATACTTTGCTTTATTGAGCACCAGAAATACATGTGAATGCAAAATTTCTTCCTTTACCCCTTTTACAGGCAAAAAGATGAGAGGTTTGCATCAGCTTTTAAGTTGAATCAAACGATCTTTTGAAAAAGCTTTTGATGGTAGTAATCCTGCAAAAAACGTACTGGAGTCCAACAAACCCCCTTTCAAGGCACATGGTTAACAGGTGCATGAGCCACTATTCAAGGAGCACTGGGAAGCACAGGCTTACTGGTTTCAATCGAAACCACAAATCAATGTGAGAAAACATGAGGTAATCGAATATTGTTCATCCATTTTTATTTAATATAGGGGATTTATAAGTAGGTATTTCCCTAATAAAAAGCCTAATGGGAGATGGGAAAAACCTGCAAACAAGTGATTTTGAGGTTTTTTGCTACACTTGTATTACAGCATACCCTGGACTTCATAAACCTTCCCTCTCGTCACAGGACAGCTGCTGTTCAAACAGCACTTCTTGATTCAGTGACTACTTTCAGTGCTTAGAAAGGTAATTACTTTTTTTTTTATTCAAGTAAATGACATTTAGAAGTGGCAGTTAGATTGCAAAGTGCCGCTGGTAAAAATACATCACGAACAAGACATGAATTAAAGAAGAGAGAAGTTTAAAATAGATCTTTCCACCCCCTCCCTGCCCCCTCCAAAGTTCTTCAGAAACCAAAGAGCAATTAAATTAATAACACAGTGGCGGGGGAAGTAAAATAAACCCACGGATTTTTAAACCTAATCCACTCCTGGGGATATGGACACAATTAACCCTGTTCCTCAGGAGATGGTGACAACGCGTCGGTGCTGCGACCAGCTGCTGGGCCCACATCTTTTTGAAGACTGACCACGAGCACCACCGCGAGGACAGGGAGGCCCGACTCTTCTCCCACTCAGGAGAACCAAGCCCTGGGACTTCTAACACAGCTCCAAGCAGAAATTTGGATGAACAGAGGTTGAACAGCACTGAAGTAGGAGCTGATAGCAGTGTTTATCTTACAATGCAAGGAGTACACCGTGTTTTCTTTTCATGCCACATCATCAACTTCCTTCTAGTGCCAAACCTTAAACTTTTACCCCGCCCGAAAGTCAGCTGGAGAGACAGGCAGAAGGAAAAAAAAAAAGGGGGGGAGGGGGGGGAAGCCAACAAAAAAAGGCCAGAAAAAAGAGTAAGAGACATCGGCAACATCTGCTTCTTTCACAAGTAACTCAAGAAGAGTCTCTAAAGGATTAGCCCCACATTTGACTCCCTCATAACTTTTTTGGAGGCTGCAACCTTAAAAATGCGTAACTGATGAAATGCAAAATGTAAGGGATCAGCTTGGGAAGTAGCAGGCAGCACTGTACGCAGCGCTGAAGCATGATCCAATATTCCAGCATGTCTGATGGCACATTCACCTTTCTACTTTTTTCCTCCCTTCCTGTAACAAGGCCATGGGGAAGATAACAGAGTGTCTTCCAAAATTAAAAGCTGACCATGTGACTTCTTTTCACGACATTCCTCTTCACAGCCTTTTCAATATCAAAAGCAGGACGTAGTACTTGTTACCATTAAGTGGCCAAGCTTCATACTCCCATCACACAACACTATGTTCCTAGTTCCCGAAAAGCACCTTCAAAGAGGGAGACAGAATTTGGGATCCCTCCCATCACACAACACTATGTTCCTAGTTCCCAAAAAGCAGGTATCCCCTCCTTCAAAGAGGGAGACAGAATTTGTTCCAACCCTTCTGCTGCCCACCCGTACCCCTCCTTCTCCCTCCTCTCTTGGACCCAGAGCTAGGAAGAGAGACCCCTCAACTGAGATGCAAGGCTTGGCGTGGAGCTCCAAGTCTGCCTGCATTCAGTGTGTGCCTGCAGAGCTGTTGTCACAGTTGCACATCACCTTTTTCCAAGCTACGTCGTATCAGTACCGAGGCATGTTATAAAATAGGCTAAGTCCCTCTTTTAAGGGAAAACAAGCAAAATTCTCCTTACAGAGCAGGCACCAGCATGACGCGCAGATGCACACATGTGCACCTCCACCTCAACTGACTGAGCCAAGAGGGAGACAAAGAGCTATTAATTATAAAAATTCAATACCTACAATAGATTACACCCCATAACAGCTTAGAAGAGAGAAACGTGCCGTTTTAAGTAGTGCCAAGTGATTACAGAGTCTTTGATTTCCCAGTTTATTATCAGCGCCACGCCAAAACAATGAAAAACTACCGAAAACAGAACAGATCAAGCACAAAACATGATACGTGGGAAGCACTGCTTAATTCAGTAACTATTTCATTACGAAACCCTTCCTTTACTGAGCAAAGCGATGTCAACTTGTCAAGCAAACCCTCTTCACCTGTTCTAACATAACAACTAGATACAAGGATCTCTACTTGGTATAAGAAGAAAAAGAGAATAATTTACAGGCAAAGATGGTAATCATCAGTGACTTATCAAAAGTTCAACCGTGTCTGCTGATCAGATCTCAACTTCTACGCCAAAAAATAACAAAACAGAATCCCAGCCTGAAAGCATAACTAGAATCACGCAATTACCTAGAAAACGGAATAGTTTCGGTAGCACTGAGGCCCATCACTTGCAAGAAAGGCTTTATTTACACAGCTGTCCTGCGTAGGAGTCCCAGGTGCTCTCTCACCCCTTGTCCCCTTTCTGCAAAGACCTTTCAGGAAAAATAGAGTAAAAAGGCTGGCAGCCTCCTTTGGACTCCCTAGTCGTCAACAGGGCCCCAACTGCTGCTGTTAACATATCTACCCAGCTGTGACACTTACTTATTCCTACCGTGTAGCAACAAACACGATGCATTCTTACCTACTGTGTGATTATCTAAAATATACTCTATTAGAGTTACCTTTACAAAACCAATTTCATCTATATATTCAAGATATTAATGCATGCCCTAGCCTGCACATGCCATTTTCCTCTATGCAAATTCCT